TGCCCTAAGGTCATCCAGTTCAAACTCGGAGCTATTCTGCAGGGCTCGATGTAATCTGACCAACATGTTCATATCTTCACCGTCATATTCGGATAACGATGAAGAATGTAAATGACTGAAACTATTATTAAGTCGGTTTGTGGCTTGCACGCTGTCACGGCCTGAAAAATAAAGAAAAGCAAATTCAGAATAAGATTCAGATTAGATGTCATATTCATCTCAAAGTACAATAACATTGCATGGAAAATTGCATGTTGTATTATTATATATCTGTCACCGTAACAACATAAGATACAGCATCCCGTAATTTTGTCGTATTTGCATCCTACCATATTAGGAAATGCGATTTCCACATATGGAACAATTCTGCACGTAAGCGTCCTCTAATAATAAAAACAAACATGGTTGCCCCCAGGGTTTAACCGGACTCCACACAAAGAAGTTCACTAAATCTGCTCTAAACGTTTTGGATTTTGGCATTCCTAAAAGATGTATAATAATACGCACAGTACATGTCACATCGACCTTCGCTTTGCATCGGTAGATACTCTCGCTGTACTGTCTTAGTGCATACTTTGCAGTATCCTCGTAATAACCTCATATTAATCTCAATATACACCAGTATTGATATTGGTTTGTCGTCTTCATCTCAAAGTACGACAATATTGCATGGCGGATTTCGCCATAGCTTCTATCTCTTCTTTCTGCAAGCAAGCAGAAATGCTGAATAGGCTACCAAATTCTGCTGATCGATGAAAATAAACAAATAAATAATATACCTGTTAATTTTTGTGCTTCCACCATAAATTTCCACAGCTTTTCATAGTCCACTCCAAACTGATCTTCGTATTTATTTAAAATCAGTTGAAAAACTCTCCCGGAGACTTTTATGTTGTGTTCCATAAACACGCTCCATAACTCTTTACCAGTTATGCGGTTTTCGACGTTACCACCCAGGCGACGAAAGTTGATTCTAATCGCTCGTAGGCGCTGTCGACTGATTTCTTGCAATGGGTCTTTTAGTTGCTGTTGAAGTTCCTCGTCGGGGTCAACCCCGTCTATCTCCATTAAAGTTGCAAATCCTACAGAAGAATTTATAGAATAGATAAAGATAGACTCTCTTTAACCTTTTTACGCCTAGTTCCCTCTTTTCATCATGAATTCACAAAATATTCCAGTTAAAAGTCTGCACTTTCAATCAGAAGATCAGTTCAAAAATAACAACATTATTTTGAGTAAAAACTGAAAATTGACTAAAATTTTGTCTGTTGGCTCCAAAATTAGGTTTCATTTCCATAAATATAGAAAAATATAAGAAAAATTTAGGCAAAGAAGTCTGGTGGTGAGAGCGAAAAACTCAAGTAACTTTAGCCTACCAAACAATGTTACATACTTTCTTTCATCACCATGTCAACTGCTCCCCTAAGAACCATACGGTAATTTTCAATTTTAATTTGCAATATTCTTTGAGAGGCAACAATTTTAAAATTGTCTAATACAAAAATTCAGAAAACTTTCTTGGGAAAAATAAAACATTAATTGATCATGAACCAAAGGAGAACAGAGATCTCACTGAAAGTGTGCGAATCACACAACTTGTTTATTTGCCCCTTAAATAGTATACCATACTCCCCCATATTTGAGTTCACTGTTCCAAATACCATGCTTACATAGGTATCAGTGGAACAGTCCATGCGATTACAGGGAAATATGGGACACTATTTGAGGGGCAAAAACAAGTCATGTGACTCTCTTGCTCTCAATGAGATCTCGGCAGCCATTTACATCTAAGGAATAATTACACATAGTTTTACCTGTTGGTGGGCCTCCATCTGCAGTTGATAAAGGTGCTCTTCGCTTAGAACTACCAATTCTTTTACGACCACCAGATTTTTTCTCCTGTGAAATTGACAATAATTAGACCTAGTAATGACACATGGTACTTCAAAGTACTCCTGCCAAACCTCCTAAAGGTCACACATCCTGGTACTCCTGCCAACCCCCCTAAAGGTCCCACATCTTGGTACTCCTGCAGAACCCCCCTAAAGGTCACACATCCTGGTACTCCTGCCACACCTCCTAAAGGTCACACATCCTGGTACTCCTGCCTAACTCCTAAAGGTTACACATCCTGGTACTCCTGCCACACCTCCTAAAGGTCACACATCCTGGTACTCCTGCCTAACTCCTAAAGGTTACACATCCTGGTACTCCTGCCTAACTCCTAAAGGTCATGCATCCTGGTACTCCTGCATAACTCCTAAAGGTCACACATCCTGGTACTCCTGCCTAACTCCTAAAGGTTACACATACTGGTACTCCTGCCACACCTTCTAAAGGTCACACATCCTGGTACTCCTGCCTAACCCCTAAAGGTCACACATCCTGGTACTCCTGTCACACCTCCTAAAGGTCACACATCCCGGTACTCCTGCCTAACTCCTAAAGGTTACACATCCTGGTACTCCTGCCTAACTCCTGAAGGTCACACATCCTGGTACTCCTGCCACACCTCCTAAAGGTCACACATCCTGGTACTCCTGCCTAACTCCTGAAGGTCACACATCCTGGTACTCCTGCCACACCTCCTAAAGGTCACACATCCTGGTACTCCTGCCAATCCCCCTAAAGGTCACACATCCTGGTACTCCTGCCTAACCCCTAAAGGTCACACATCCTGGTACTCCTGCCTAACCCCTAAAGGTCACACATCCTGGTACTCCTGCCTAACCCCTAAAGGTCACACATCCTTGTAGTCCCGCCTAACCCCTAAAGGTCACAGATCCCAGTACTCCTGCAAACCCCCTAAAGGTCACACATCCTGGTACTTCTACCTAACCCAAACAATGAAAATAAATCCTAGTTTCATTTCCAGAATAACCACTTTTGATGAGTTGAAGTTAAAACGTAGGAAAAAGGGTATATTCGCTGGATTTTCTTTTCACTGAATAATAAAATAGCGAAAATAAATTACAAGTGAAAAATAAATTAAGTATAAAGAAGAGATGGAAACTCTTCAACAGGAAACTAGATGTAGTAAAAATAAAGGGGAATAGTGAAGTAAATATCAAATATAAAGAGTTTGCAAATTCCATACAAATCTCAACATGAATAAAACTGACATAATAGAGACATCAATTTTAAATACCAAACTTTTCATTTCACAAAATAATGCCACTGAAAATCTGACTAATTTAAAATCGAGCTATGATTAAAGCTACCATTCAGTATGCGAGAACTTACGTCATGGTATGAAAAATCTGACGAATTTAAAATTAAGCTGTGATTAAAACTAGCATTTAGTATGCGAGAACTCACGTCATGGTATGGAAAATCTGACGAATTTAAAATCGAGCTGTGATTAAAAGTAGTATTCAGTATGCAAGAACTTACATCATGGTATGGAAAATCTGACGAATTTAAAATCGAGCTGCGAATAAAACTAGCATTCAGTATGCGAAAACTTACGTCATGGCACGAAAATCAGATGAATTTAAAATTAAGCTGCGAATAAAACTACCATTCAGTATGCGAGAACTTACGTCATGGCACGAAAATCAGATGAATTTAAAATTAAGCTGCAATTAAACCTACCATTCAGTATGCAAGAACTTACGTAATGGCACGAAAATCAGACGAATTTAAAAACAAGCTGAGATTAGAATAACCATTCATAATGTGAGGAACTTTCATTATGGTATGGAAATTCTAAGGAATTTCAAAACGAGCCGAGATTAAAACTACCATTCAGAATGCAAAGAACTTACATCATGCCACGGAAAATCTGACGAAATTAAACTCGAGCTGAGGTTAAAGCTACCATTCAGCGAAACATTTAGTCCGCTACTTCCAGCTGCCATCTTTTTATGTTTAGTACTGGGACCCGTTCGTAAACTGCCATGATGTCCTGGTTTCTGAGGCATCGTAGGTTACGGCTGCAGCTAGATAAACAAAACATAAAAAACAAACATCTAAATCAGAATGTTATAATATATTGTTACTGTTCATAGAACGGCGTGATCATTTCAACAATTCAGAATTTGTTTTGTACAGTGGCAGATAAATTGGTCTGTGATTAAATTAGGCACACGTCAATTACATCACTTTTAATTCAACTGTTAGTTGCCATGGTGATGTAGCAATGCACTTAAAGACTTGATTAATGGTACGATTGTACAAGGTTTTCTTTTTTTTTGTCAACTCAGTGTGGGTCCTTAGGAGGAATTTCAATACACGCACAGATAAAATAAGTACATATAAATCTTAATTCTATATATGGTATTAATTTGCATAAATTCCCATAATTCATTGCAAGCTAGAGAGTATGTACATTTCAACACAAAAAG